AATGAATACAAATAATACAAAAATGACAAACACAACAACCTAAAATGAAAATGAAAAATGTAAATATAAATAATAAAAAATATGAATTAATACTACAATAGTTTGGACATAATACTAAAATAACGCTGGGCTCGTTTATTAAATATTGTCTAATTGCATTACGTTTTAAGCTAATAACATGAATGTTGCACCTGCATTTCTCCCACATTACCATGCTTGAGAAAAAAACAGACTAATATTGACTGTTTTCAAACAGTTTCAAACACTTCTGTATGCAATCGGTCGAACAGACCCACTTCACACCACCGTATAAGGCAGAGCTTAACGTGTTGACATATTTCATGACATTCTGCAGAATTTTGCTTCTTGATTTTTATTTTGAAGGCTGTGTTCTGCTTTCAGATGTGGGTCAGTGTGTCCTGCCTCCTCATGTGGGTTATGCCAAATAAAGCGCTGTAGGACAGAGAGACTGGCAGTGTGTCAAACGCTTTATCAGCTGCTGTAAAGTGTTGTGTCTGCAGCGCTCTGATATGCTCTCTATCATTTTGATATTGCATGAGATCATTTTTCCACGTTGTGTTGTTGTTGGACTCTCTTTGTTCAGACACACTGTTTCATCAGAGGTCCTTCTGGACAGATTCATGCATGTTAAAAGCAGAACCTCTCAAGAGAACATTATTTGTTGATGGAAAACGCTGCTATCATAGAGTAAAACATGTGTTGTTATTGTTAACAAACTAATTAAAACTAAAACTAATAGAGTCTATTTATAAACAAACTATGAAATATAAATATTAGATAAACTTAAATAAAAAAATAGAAATGTTGCTGAAATTAAAATAAATTACTAAAACTGGAATCAGAAAAAATTCTAACTAAATAGAAATAATAAAAACAAAATTTTAAAACAAAACAGATTTTTTTTAAATGAAAAACTGAAAATACATAAATATAATATAATTAAAAAATGATTAAATACTATAATAGTATATAAATAATACAAAAAAAAGGCTCTAGATTAAAAAATAAAACAAAAACATCTTCATGTTTTCATGATTCTTATTTCAGACCTTAAAAATCATATTTGTAAAAATATTTATGAAATATAAACATTAGATAAACTTACATTTGAAAAAAGGAAGAAAATTTGAGATGTAGCTGAAATAAAATTACCAAACTAAAACTGGAATAAGAATACATTACAGCTAAATAGAAATATTCAAATAAAGTAATGAAATGACTAGAAAAAAAAGAAATAACTAAAACTAAAATAAACTAAAAACATAAAACTAATTAAAACATTATTAAATACTATAATATTATATAAATAATGCTAAAATAAGACAAAAAATAAGATCATAATAACATAATTCTGGATTCTTTACCTCAGTGGTTCTTATTTCAGACCCAGATTATACATTGCACATAGATTGGCAACTCGGATTGGTTTTTTGTAAAAAATCAAACAAAAATGTCCCTAAAATCAATTTTTTTAAACTAAAACTAATGTAAATGCATGATTTAAAATGATCCCGGCGCAGCAGCATTGACTGGAACGAGACTTTGTCTGATCAATGGCAAAAGCAAAAACATTTGGCAAACCTGTTTGAACGGATCATGGTTGCAATTCAGTTCGGTAATGCAAATGGTCTAATAGTGACACGCTTTCCTTTAAAAGACAAATGTAAGGCATCTGGGCCACATACAGCAGAAATCTGTTCTATACACAAGCAAACACAATGACTACTGTATGTTTGGAACTGAATACTAGCATACTGCACAGTCCACACTGAATACTGCCAACTAGTTTAAATCTAGTTTAGGCATTATGCCACAACAAACATTCCGATCAGAATTATGCTTCATTCTTGTCACATGATGTTGTATGCAGTATGCTATTCCAAACACAGCCAGATGTGTGAGAGCGGCAGAGAGCAGCGTGGGTAATGACGATGTGTGCATGTGCTCATGGGTACCTGCACTGTCTGTTTGGCCGCGCTGGCCGTTTGCTGGACCGGATCAGACCACCAGCAACCAGGACCAGACGGCACATTTAGATGAAGAGGAACCAAATCATCACAACATCATCACTGAATGAATCATCACATGATTATAATCACAATGTTAAGAGTCACGGATTACAAGAAAGAGCTGCATTCCATAAACACTTTACTTAAAGCCTTTATGTGAAAAAGCCTTTAAGTTAAAATGCATTATAATATTAGAAGGGTTTTTCCCCTTGTCTTTTAATGCACTTTGCTTTCTAAAGTTGTAACAATGAATAGATAAGTATTTATGAGATCATACAATGCATTATAAAGTGCATTACAATGCATCATGAATACATTAAAGGGGTCATATGATGCGATTTCAAGTTTTCCTTTCTCTTTGGAGTGTTACAAGCTCTTGGTGCATAAAGAAGATCTATAAAGTTGCAAAGACTAAAGTCTCAAATCCAAAGAGATATTCTTTATAAAAGTTAAGAGTCAACCACGCCTATCTAAAACAGCTCGTTCTAACACGCCCCCACATACCTACATCACTATGTGGGAAGATTTGCATAACGCCGCCCAAATGTTCACGCAAAGAAAGAAGGCGTAACTTTTATTCTCGCTGTAGTATTGTTGCTGCCGCCATGTCGTGAAGACGCTACTTTGCGAAACTACTTTGTTTGGTCTTCCAAAAGAGGATGATATCTGCTTCGTCATGCCTAGAGCTGATCCGTGCTGGTTGCTGAGGAAATACAACAACTTTGAGGAGTCCAGCCCGGGGTCGTCACGTGTGGTTGCCGCAAGCCTCCTTCGTCGAATCCACCGCCGCCGCTCACTCAAAGCCGCCGTGTGTGATGCTGTGTTTCGTTGTGAAAGCGAAACTACTTAGTTTGGTCTTCCAAAAGAGGACACGACTAGAAATCAGTGGTTAAGTTGTATTTACAACACTGTTCCAGAACACTTCAACCCAAATATTCAGATGTGTGCAGCACATTTTATGGAGGACTGTTTCCTGATCCTGGGAGAGTAGACTACAATGCCGGCTGTTCTGACTCACAGACTGTGAGTACGTTTTTTAATATTTAAAGAGTTTTTATATTTTATATATTTAAAGCGAGTTTTTTTGGGCAGTGTAGAGTAGCGCTTGTTGTTTGTCATTTCTCCAATCACAAACACAGACATGGTTTTATGTTTACGAGGCGCGGCGCGATGCAACGTGTAAAAAGACAGTATAAGTCATTATATTCCATAATTATGTCCCCACTGGATGCAACGAATGCCTCGTTTATAATGGGTTTTCATGTTTTTGAATCATCGCTCCGGCCTGACAGGGCATCACAGTATGGTGAGGGGCGTAACATTTCCGTCACACGCTTGAGGTATTCAGCCAATCACAACGCACTGGATATCTGGCCAATCACAGCACACCTCGCTTTTCAGACCGATGAGCTTTGTAAAAATCGACACGTTTCAGAAAGGCGGGGCATAGAGGAGAAACAATAATGTACAGTATGTGGAAAATAATGTGTTTTTTTAAACCTTAAACCGCATAAACACATTTAATTACACCAAATACACAAAATAATGTTCTTTTTAGCAACATCATATGACCCCTTTAAAACTACTTTTATAATGCATGTTATAAACAAAGGCTTTAAGTGAAATATTACTGAAAATTATTTTTCATTTGTAAAAACAAACAAAAATCATGTTTACAGTAATGCATGTGGAGGAAATTTTATTTGTATTATTATTAGTTTTATTTGCTTTACTCTACTAAAGAGTGTTCTTTTCTTCTCTAAATGCCTCATCTGTATACTTGAGTTTTTCATGAGCTGAGAGAGAACAGGAAATTTATTTGATGTGTGAAAGCCAAGTGTGAGAAAGAAAATGTTATTTTAGCTTCTTAGAAAATTATTTGCATTAAATACTTAGAAATGCATATAAGGGATAAATGGACACATATGATGAATATGATTGGATGAGATTTGATTTGATTTGGTCATAAATATTGAATCAAACTTTGTGGCAGTCTACAGCCAACCCTGAAATACTGCATGCATGTAGGCCTTTTCCTGCAGGAAAATAAATCTTCAAAATACACAACATGCGCTTATTATAAGAACAGCTTCTATTGTTGTAAAAAACCTTTTTCATGTAAAGTGAAAGTTACTGGATTCACTGTAAGTGCATGACTGTACACATGATTTCTGCTTGTTTGAGAGATTATTTATTATGCTTTCTGTGGTTATTAACAGCACGTCGTACATGCTGTACAGATGCTGGTGTTCCTTTTTTAAGGTCTGTTTGTCCAGCATTGTGTTTGATGGTGTTTTGAATGACTTTTAAAGAAAAGAAGAGAATAAAACTTTTCAAATGCAGAAAACAATCAAATGTTATAGAATGCAGCTCTAATTCAGAAACCAACATAAAAAAAATAAATAAAAAAAATCAAACAAACTTGGAAATATAAAATTTCAAGTGTTTGGAAATGTTAAAGTAGTAGGCTGGACAGAATTATTAGTCAATTAGATTCAATTCTGTGTTTTCTTTTCAGTTTCATTTATTTATTTTTTATCTTTTGTTCTACTAATATTAAAATCCAGTGTTACTTTAGATTTTTAGGTTAATCTCACAAAAAATGTCTGCATCAAATTTTATCCGAAAAGCAAAAGAAGAAATAATATAGAAATTGTATAGAAAAATAACGTTTCAATTTCTAGGACTAAGATTTGTTTTTGCATTGCGCCACTACATATACCTTCAAAAATATTAGAATAAAATATTAGAATAATATTAAAATGAAGAATAAAATAAAATGGATTGAAAAAAACTATAATAATTATTATATAAAAATAATCGTTTTTCTTATTTTGTGATGAAACATGATTTTGTGAGAGATCTGGCTGATTGCTGGTTTCCAGCTGTTGTAAATGAATGAATTATTCCAGTGAAATGAAGTGAGTTGTACATGATTTTAGAGTGAAAATAACAATTGAAATGAAGAGATAAAAGCCATGCAGAGCAAATTAGCCAACAAGCTGCATCTACTGCACACTCATGCTGCTGAAAAACTATTTTAATAATAAAAAAATTAATTTCCCAATTCCCAATTTAACAAAAGTTCAATACCCTCTGTTTTCTTTTAAAGGTGACATATCATGAAAATCGGACTTTTCCAGGTTGTAAGTGCTATAATCAGGTCCCTGGTGCATCTACCAACCAAGGAAACGTGAAAAAGATTAACCCAGTAACTTTGTTTAGGTAAGCCTTTATCTGCAAGCGTCTGAGAAAACCAGCGTCTGATTTCGCTCCCTTGGTGACGTTGCAAAGGGATCTCATTATAATATTACCGCCCTTTAATCTGTAAGTTTCCACTCAAGGCACGTCATTTTGATTTTGCAAGCAACAACGGTGTAGCAGCTCTAATGCCATGGAGAAAGTTTGAGCAAAACATGCTAACTGTTCTGTCCTTGGCTGCACAGACGAGCACACAACACTGTTTAGAGTCCCAGCCTCAGAGCAGACAAGACAGCAGTGCATTTATTGATTTATTTACTGTATATTGCTGCTGCCACACAGATCTAATATAAACATGCAGCTGTTAACCTTCACAGACATAACCAACAGTTTTTGTAACTCGTGTGTTTTTAAAGTAAACTTGTGTGTGAATGAGAACTTAGTTTAGTACTCGCATGCTGTGACAGCCGCTTTCTGTGCGTGTGCTTCTGATGTGTGCGCTCAGAAAACCCTATATCTGAAGTTTAAACTCATATGGTTTAAAACGCATGATTTCAGCGAGATAAACATGATAATCAGAACCATAACAGATGTTTTTAGCAGATACCAGCTGTAAAGGCGCAGCTCTATTCTGGAAAAGGGGGGCGGAGAGCAGCAGCTCATTTGCATTTAAAGAGACTGAGTAGATATACTGCAGTATTTCCTCTCTCAGTCGGTAGAAAATATGGTTAACACCCGGACATGCATGAAAAAAAAAACCCCGTCATGTACCATGAAACCAGTATAATTTTGGAAAATACCGTGATATACATTTTTGGTCATACCGCCCCAGCACTAAGACTTATATTACATATTGTAAAAAGGGGCATAATATGTCACCTTTAAGAACTAGAAGACCGTGTAAATGTGAGTGTGAGTGACCATCCTGAACCCGTCGAGCTTGTTCAAAGTGAATCCGTGCACAAAACCAGCTGTGTTTGACACAAGGTGTTGCATGATTGAGTCTTTACCTGGCACCGGGTGGCATACGGTTCTGCCAGCTTCCTCAGCGTGGCCACGCTCTCCTCCACCTGCCCTCTCTCAGGCTGCACACGCTGGATCTTCTGCTGCGGCCTCGTGTAGAGAGACAGCTGCGAGAGCAACGGCGATACAGAGTCAAAGTTCAAATAAACATCTTTCCCTTAATGTTAAACTCTTGTTTGTAACAGTGCGTTCTGGTTCTGTTGAACACATACAGGTCAAACTGTCCTAAAACTGTAGAATTCCTAGTTAAACTCTTGCTTGTAAACAATAAACAGCCAAATACGCATCTTTTCTCTCATTACTGTAATGCATCTGGATATTTTACTTTAAAATTCTAATTTGTAATTTAATTTTTGAGTTTAATGTTAAACTCTCATTTGTAATACAGATCTGTTTGGCTCGACAGAATTATTAGTCAGTTAAATAATAACAGTTTCTAATAATATTATAATCTGGTATGAGTGTTAAAAAAATATTTTAAAAGTGTGAATCTCGTCAAACTTGTCTGCATCACATTTCACCCCAAAATAATAATAATAATATTTTAAAAAAACAGTAAGAAATTGTATAGAAAAATTTAGATCAATCAATCAATAAACAAATAAAAGTATTATCTGATGTTTTGCATCTTGACATTATTTTCATGACAAATAAACACATTTTCACACCAAATTCCCATTACTGTACTGCATCCAGACTTTTTACTTCTGAGGTTTTTTTTGTAATTGTCATTATTCTCAACGGTTTTCTGGCTTTAAATTAAAAAATAAAATGTTGCTTTAGCAACTAAATTAAAATAAGTTTAAATTGACGTACTAAAATCAATAACACTGAAAATACAGCTAAATAGAATTTGTTTAAAAAAAACTAAATCAAATGACAGACACAAAATTTCTAAAATTAAACTTAAAACTGAAAATATTAAAATAAAAGCCAATTCAAAATACACTATATTAAAAATACTAAAATAGCACTAAGTGTAATAAAATTTTATAATGTCATAATTTGCTGTTTAATACATTTTCAGTATTCTAATCATGTATGTTTTATATTTGAGCATATTTTTTCTGTTGCTGCACAAGGCAAGATTATATTATTTATAATATGAAAAAGTTCTCAGATATTATTTTAGGTTTATATTATTCCCCAAAAAATTAAACAATTTTTAAAATGTTGATTTGGCTTTGACTTTGTTTTTTAAATCGGCATCATTTATTAATTATCATCAATTAATATAATCATTATTCTCAATGGTGATTCTCATTCAATTGAATTGACTTGATTTTCTTCATGTAAACTGCATTGTTTTCTTTCTCAGTTGATGTTAGGGTTCAGACGTGACTGTGATATATGACTTTACCTCATCTACACTCAGAGCTGTGCCGGGTTTGTCATCGTCATCATCAGCGGCCGCCAGCACAGAGGCTGAGATCAGTCCCAGAGTGCCAGAGACTCCTGCAACCCCTCCGACCTATCAGAGCAGCCGCAGCGCCGTCGCCACGGAAACAGAGAGCATGAATGAACCGGTCAGATGGAATTTCCAGGTCAAGCACAACACACAGCAGAACTTCACAACGGCTGAAGTGTGCTCACTGTCAACACATGCTGAATGTTTCTTGTTTAAGCAAGAATGACACACAGTCTATTTACTCAAACTGCTGTTTTGAGGACATTCAAGGTCCCTCGGTTTCTCTGCAGGCGTAGAGAGTAGCTGTGACATAATATCAGAAACTGGAGGTCAAATCATTTCAAATATGGCCAAAGTTGAGGTCAAGGGTTGAAGACACACAATAACTCTGTTTTGATCCTCTTTTTCTAGTCCTTTGCTTTTCACATGACTGATATTCACTTCTACTTGCATATGAGAAATTGATAACATTGCAATTTGTACGTTTTAAGTATAAAGTTAAGCTAGGTCATTCCTGTTTCAGTCATGTAACAATTAGTAATGTCTATTGAAAATTGTTTTTGATCATTGAAGCGAGTTCAAATAAAGTATAAATATTAGATGAAAATGTTGCAACTAACTGAAAAGTACTAAAATCACTCGAACTGGAAATGAAAGCTAAATAGAAGTAACAAAACGAATATAAAAATAATTTAAAATTAAACTAAAATGAAAACTGACGATATAAAAATAAAAGCTAATAGTATATAAATAATATATGTATAATGTATATAAATAATAACAGAGCACTAAGTGTAATTACATCGTTTAATGTCATTTTTCTTGATTGTTTTAACATTTTCAGTATTCGAATCATCATGTATATTTTATATTTGGGCATATATTTATATTTTTTCTATTGTTGCACAAGTGTTGCCACCAGGAAAGATTATAATATTTATTAAAAACAAGATTATTTTAGGTTCATATTAATCTTTCTGGGATAATCAATAAAATAAAAAAATAAATAAAAAAAAATATATATATTTTTTTTAAATGACTTTCATAATAGTGTTAAATAAATGACCCATATGATGCGATTTCAATTGTTCCTTTCTCTTTGGAGTGTTACATATTTACTTTGAAAGATGAAGCTGGCGATTATGGTAAGGGGCGTTACATTTCCGACGCGTGCTTGTGGTGTTCAGCCAATCACAATGCACTGGGTCAGCTGGCCAATCAGAGCAGACTGCGCTTGTCGGAAGGAGGGACTTTGTAGAAAACTAAGCGTTTGAGAGAGGCGGGGCATAGAGGACCTACAATAATGTACATTATTTGAAAAATAATGTGTTTTTTGAACATTAAAGCATGTCAACATATTCTGTTACACCAAATAATGATCTTTAAAAAAGCATCATATGACCCCTTTAAAACAGCAGTGAAACAAAACATTTTCAGTTTCTCTTTAGGATTTAACGGTGTTCTGTCGCCATCTGGTGGCCAGATGTGGAAACGCAGCTGCGCGCTGTTTTATTATTTTAATAATAAAATAGCCAAACTAATATAAAATGTAAGGTTGGTATCACTCGATTTATAAACTTTGATTTCATCTAATATTCGCTGCACAGACAGTGGCAAAGTCAATAAAAGCCTAAAAAGAGTTTGACTTGTACTACTGGTGTAATGAACATTTTTATACAATAAACTCAGTCTATAGAATCACAGCAGCCTAAAATCCTAGATAGAACAGCGGTGTTAGCTTTATTTAAACAAGTTAAATAGTTAGTTGCATCTCTTCTGCAGTGCCCTTGTATTTCCTGCCCTCAAATGCCTCTTTATAAAGCTCAGAAATATATAATAATCTTTATAATAACATCAGCTCGACTGAAACCCGTGCACCTGTTTCTTAAAGCCTGGACATCAGTGTGTTAACAGGAGGAACAGAGTCAAGAGCACGAGCTGAACGACAGAAGTGAACTTTCTAATGCTCACCTTGTACATGGTCCAGTCTTCTTCTCCTCCTTCTTTCCGACTGCGCGGCTGCGATCAGACTTTCACCCGCTGAGCGCCATCTAGAGTTCATCAAGCGCAACTACACTCCCGGGACATTTACTCCTTTTTTACAGGTTGTTCATATTTATTCCATATATAATATAATATCATATATATATGACAGTTCTACAGTACTAGGGCATAATACATAAACATTACAATAATTGAAATGTACATTAATTTTGAATAAAATTTTTAGCAATAGGATAGAAATTGATATTTATTTATTTATTTATTTATGCATATATTTATATTACGTTTTTATGCAATCTGTGTATTCAGTGATTCTGTTTGATTCGTTCCTGGTACATTTCACGAAGAATTAAAAAAAAGAAAGTACAACACTGAATTAAACATGACATTTTGAAGTAGAACAACTTAAAAAGTGTTTTCTTCTCTAATGTACTCCAACCCATAAGACAAGAATATGTATTAAAATATGTGTTAAAATATATTTCAAAATACATCAATCTATGTGTATTCAGTGATTTATTTTATTCATAGCTGGGTTATTATAGTAGAATACAATTAAAACTATTTAAAAAAAATTAGTTACTTAAAATAAAATAAAAAGTGTATATATATATATATATATATATATTTGAATTCTTTTAACATTTACTTCAGCTAGTGGCCAAGACAAAATTTTTCATTTTAATTTAATTTAACTCAAACTGAAATAAAATTG